TTCCTACCATTATGACCAAGTTGCGAAAACAAGGTCAAACAACTTCTATACAATGAAAGGAGACTGCGACAACCCAAAAGGCCACACCATCTTGGTCTTCATATCTTCGATTAACTAATTGAATTGATCAGATCGTCTTTCGATTTATTTACGCGCCATGTTTAAAAAGTCATATTAATGAATTTACAATAGGCTCAACATTTTTTTCACAACTTAGAATGACTGGGATACCTTTTATTACATCAAAATTCGTGAATCTCTCAGAATTGATTCTATTTTATTCTACAAGGTCTCCCGACTAAGTTGCGAAAACGAGGTCAAACCAAAATAGTTCAACTAAGGAAGGCTGACGAAACCTAAGGTCACTAACATAGTCTTCGTTTCTACCCAGTTGTTTAATAAACTTATATATATATATATATATAATGATAAAATCTAAATTAGGATTTTAATTTATTAATTTTCATTTAATATTCACAATAATAAATTGTTCCAACATTTATTGACATTTAAAACAATTTATTTTTTGTTCTTTTCCATTTATAAAACTCTTTGAACCCTCTTTGTTTGATGACACACTTTTGTGAATATTCCCCACATCGATATATATCTATTTACAATATTCAGCTAAGATGCCTAGTATTCCTAAGGCATCTAACGGAGCTACAAATAACGATAGACCCTTCTGTATAAATGCTTTACCGGGCGATCCTGGCTCTGCCTGGCTGTCTTCAGGTTCCTCACCTAAACAACTTTTCAAACCACCTTATGCAGCTCCTAGAATTGGTTTTTTTCCTGTTTCTCAGCCGAGCAACCCCCAGTCTTCTAAGCCAAACCTACCAGGTAGCTGTCAAGTAATGCCTCCTTTGCCTTCCATGCCTTCGCTGCAACTTCCCACGACTTCATCCAGCCTCCTTCCTGGCGTACCTAGTCAATCGAATTATGAATCTTTAAGCTCGAATTCTCAACATCATCCATCAACGTCACCACGTATGCCTTTGCTAAATTATCATATTTTTTACACATATCTTAGCACTCAATTAATTACAGCTTTCAATATTTTTTCTATATCTTGTATTTTCTCAGTATTAATTAACTTCATCAAGTCATCTCAATACTTAATGTTTTTAAAAATATTGGCATTAAACAAGGAGATTATGTATAAATATTTTTCAATATTCATAATATTTTTTTGCAATATTGTCCTATATTATCCTCAATTTTTGCCTACCCTCGTATGATTAGGCCACCAGTTTTTCATTTTTTTCTCGCCAACTTATTTTTTTGCACCAACTGTGTCCATATTTATTGTATACAGCCTAAGCCAACATACGATGTATCTAGCCCATGCCTTTGGACCGTAATTTTTTCTATCTTTTGCTTATAATGTATTCTAATAAGGCCTAATTGAGAGTAAACTTAAATAACTATTCTCATATGAGAAAACTTTTTCAAGAATTTAGACGACTATTTTGCTTCTATCATTTTCTAGGGCAAATTTTTTAACGCACACTTACCAACGTAGTTGAAAGTTTTTATTTCTGTAACTAGAGAAAAATTATAAGCAACATGAACTGTCATAAAAAAATATTTATTTAATGTTCTTGTATTTTATCTTAATAATTTAGGCTAACTAATGATTTTAAGCCATCTCTTATTCTACTGTTTTTCATTTTTGATTAAAGAACAAATTAAGAATATTTTCTGTAATCACATTTTATTTATGCTTACTTCTTTTCCTTTTTAATTAAGGGTTGTAATGAGAGGAATTAACTTCTTCTTCCTTATGTATTCGGTGGACTCTATTGGTCTGCTTCTTCGTATCCAATTATCCTGCCTTTTTATTCTCATAGTCTCCTATCAGGATGAGCCTTTTCTGCCTGATTTAACGAAACAACTAATTTCTCTAGAGAGTCCAGAGAAATTTCAAACTTACAAGCCCTTGTGGAGTGGCCAATTATCTTCTGCCATTTACTTAGCGGCGTGACTGATAGTTCTGATATATATATATCATGATGATTAGACTTCTCCATATCCCATCAGTATTCTCCAATTGAAACTACTTACTCCATTCTCTAAAGTGTTGGTCATTTAAGTTTTTGGAGGGACATGCATTTTATTGAACTACGAATTATCCCTTTATTGTGCTTATCCACTTAAATATATTAACAAATTGTCTACAAGTGGTTTATTTAACTCAAATTTTATCAAATACCAGCCCATAATGGTTACAGCTTTTATATTACGGATGCCACTAGTTTATATGCGAAGAAGTTTGGTTTCGAGGAATCTCCTATTTTTTAATTGTTGAGCTTACTTCTATTTTGAATGAAAGTATTTGGTGAAGAGATTCGAAGGTCGATTCCACCAGAAGACGACGGCGGATTCTGGTAAAATTGACCTTCTAATCTCTTCACCAAACACTCACTCGAAATGGAAGTAAGCTCAACAATTATAAAACAGGAGATTCCTCGAAACACAACTTTTCTTTGCATATGCTACGCACGTATGGTACGAATTCTTACCAACAAAAACCAAGAAATCTATATCCCGGCTGGTCAATAATTTTATATTTTTTAAAATTTATATTTCAAATACTGTAGTACCTAGATGTTTTCTTGGTATACGTCCAGATTCACCTATTTTCACGAATAGGAATTTGAAGTAGGTCTTAAGTGGTTTGGTTAAGACTAGACTAAAAAAAAGTATAGACAATTTACATGACCTGATTAGAACCAAAATAAGGACTAGACAATCCTTTTGCTATTTTCTCGATAAGACTTTATCTAATCGCTGAATATGGTGGACGGTCTTGTGGACAGTATAGATAAGATCCATAGATCCCGAAATGATAAAAAAATAAGGTTGTTGGAGAATTTTCATTTCGTATTAAAATAAACGAAGAAGAGATTCGTATATTAATCTAACTAGACGGATGAACCCCGTTGTACTGCAGCCGTTTGGCTTTTATACCACGTTCAGGTTGACGCAGTCCACGAGACCTGGTGAGATTGACCTACTAATATCTTCTTCGTGCACCTTCATACGAAATGAAAGTCCCCCCAACACTGTTATCTCAGGAGATTCATCAAAACCCCGTTTTTCTTCATATTGACAAGAAATTAAGGAATTTAGACATTAAAATCAGCTTGATGAATCGTCGAAATAATAATAAGGTAGTAAACTTATTGACAATTGCTCTGGTAAAATTAAAGTGATATATCTATCCAGTATACCTATATATGCTAATGTTACGTTTCTCTTGGAAAAAGGTCTAAGCTTTGTCTTTACAAATGATCAAAATCATTCTATGGAAATACTGGTTGAGTTAATTAACTTAACAGACAAGCTGCCAGAAGGGGCTAAGAATAGAATAAAAAGAGAAGTGATCCCTCATTTTGATAAGGTAATTATTCCAAAGAAATCTTATGACTTGAATAAGCTGTCTAG